GTGCCTCTGTCGCATGTCGTGATAGCGGTTTGGAGCGGTGACGAGTCAGCGTGGGGCCCCAGCCTCCCCGAGACTCCAAGGAGGGGTGCTGGGGGGTGACAGTGTCCTGCCTCTCTCACAGAATTACTTTAAACTTGTGTTTGGTTTGGTTTTGTTTATTTTTTTGTGGTAGCATCCCCTAGGAGAGCCCACTGCCCCCTCGAAGCCTGACTGGCTTTAGTCCGAGTGTGTGTGCGCAGCTAATAGCTGTGTCCACCCGCTGACAGACCGATAGAAGCGTCCTGGCTGTTCTGTAGGCACATCTCTTGAACATCAGGCTGCTCATTTGTAAAACATGCCTGTGCCTGGAGAAGCAATTCACCTTGGAGGAAGCTCCCTGCCTGACTAACAAAAAGTGGGGTTGGGTAATAATTAACCTTGTTTCTGCCTTGTCTCATCGTAATTATATGATCTTTGCTTGCTGACTGAGACTTTGGAATTTCTTCCAAGTATTCTGTAGGATGCAGAGTCTTTGCAAGGAAAGCTGGGAGAACTTAAATTAGCAGATAGTTAGTAAATGTGGCAGATCGGAGGAGACAAATCCGTAAGAATCATTACATGGGTGTTATGTTTAACATTCTGATACCATTCCACGTATCCGACAACACCATTTATTCCAGAAATAATGTATTAGCAGGTCTGATTTAAAAGCTGAATAAGTAGTTGGAGACATTGCACACTTGTATTATGGGGATGTATGTAAAAAAATTCATTCAAAACTTAACATTTCAAATAGATTCTGTGGGACTCCATGGCAAAAATTTGCTTGTAGAAAGGTTTGTTAATTTGAAGTCATTAATCAGTATTTTAAAACTCTAGAAATAAGATTAGCAATGGTTTCTCCAGTTGATCTTGTTATTTTGAGTAAAACTAGCAAAAGGCATTGACAATTCTGCTTTAATAAAACTAACCTTTCTGTTTGAAGACTTTTAAATCTTTTCAAGTTTTCTTACCTTCTTAGCTGAAAAGCACTTTGTAGAAAGAAAGCATATAGAATGCATGTCAAATTGTCTCAGTGAAGTCACAGAAATGGCTCTGGTTTTTTAGGGGTGGTTGCTATCTTAAATACCTAATAAGCATTTTGTCCTTGTTCTTCAGCTTAACCCAAATGTAAGTGTATTTCAGAGAAAATTTGTGAACGAAGTGAAGAAGTGTGAAGAAATGGAAAGAATACTCGGTGAGCTTTATTGTCATGTCTGCCCTTTCTCGTCTGTGGCATTACTAAACTTTACATTGCTAGAGTGGAACTGCAGAGGAGGTTTCAGTTACAGGGTTTTTTAATCTTCCCAGTCTTGTATGATATGGATGCTGAACAATCTTGTAAAATTTTTGTATGTATAAAGAAATACACATCCGTACGCTCATTTAGAGTCTTTATGTAGATTTTTTGGAGCCGGAGATGACTTGGCTGTAGTACTGAATTGGGTCAGAACATACAAATACATTCCTTAATTTGTCTTGATGTATTGCAGCAGTTTTGAGTGTATCACAGAGTCATTTAGGTTGGAAGGGACTTCTTGAGATCACGTAGTCCACCTCCAGCTCAAGCTGGGGTAGCTAGAGCCCGTTGTCCAGGACTCTGTCTGGTGGGATTCTGAATATGGAGACTCCCTTGCTGGGCAGCCTCTTCCGGTGTTTTACCCCTGATCTCTGGTTCTTGGTTTTGTGACCTGTAAAATTTACACTACAACGTGTATGTGCTAAATATAGGTTGGGATTTTTTAAGCTTGGAGATGAAGAAGAGCTGCTAGTGTGTTGGTGATAAATAGTTGAGACCATTTAAGTATTAACTGCTTAAAACTCCGCTAGGAAAAGGGAAGCTTTACTCTGGGTATTTCCATGACTATAAGATAAGCTTTGTTTTTCATGTGGTGTATCTCAATGCTGTTGAACTTCTAAGCACCCTCAAAAATGTCTCAAGTTGTTAATAATTGTATTCACATGGTAGACAATGAATAGAGAGGGTATGCAGAGCAACCAAGATGCAGATTTCTTCAGTGTATCCCAAGGAAAAGTAACTGCTGAAGGATTCTTTTTATTGGAATCTCATCAGAGGCATGTGCTGGTCATGCCAAACCACCCCAGTGGCTATTTTGGCAATCTCCCTGCCCAGCGTGAGTTGCATTTGTTGTCAAGGTTGCTTAATCTGCCTTGTGTGAACACTTTTTATTCCAAACGTGGGTCAATAAGCACAACGTCAGTTTTTGGCAGATGGTACAATTAGCAGAAAGTGGGATCTTGCAGCAGCAAAGAGATACTATGAAATGTTAAAAGCATTTTAAAAAGTACTTGTGGTTGGAAAATTTCAGTCAGAGGACTCTGAAGATAGCTTACTTCTGCAAACTTCCAAGACAGAAATGTTCTGTATATTTTATTGCTAGCACTCTGTAAGCCTCTCTTTTTTTGAAGACTAGTGCATGTGTTGTTGCTAAAATAAATGAATAAAGTAGCTAGGGCCTGATGCTGCAGCGCGATCAGCACCGTCAGTAACAGCTGAAGGTCAACTCTGTGGCATTCTAGGATGTACAAGGAAATACCATTTCCTTTCTGATTCTGTTTTTCTTCTCACTCCAGGGTATTTAGTACAAGAAATTAAAAAGGCGGATATTCCACTTCCTGAAGGAGATGTTGTTCCTCCTGCCCCCTTGCTGAAACACATCTTAGAAATCCAGGTAACTTTTCCACACAACAGATGCCAAAAGCGTAGCTCTGGATCTTGGAACTTTAATTCAGACTTAATTACTTGCAATCTTATTACCTATGACTTAAGTTACAGGAGTGTGGCAGCAGGGGGGGAAGTATTTGCTTTTCTTTTTGTCCATTTAAAAAATTTTCTGCCAGTGTTACTTCAAAAACTGACAGTGAGGATTTGATATTAACACAAAATTCCTGTGAAAGGGTCAAAGCTAACTCACGGGGTTTGCAGTCATCCATTTTATTTTGATGGATTGGCATATTACACTGTTGCAGGTCCTTCAGCCTCATTTATTGCTTTGGGACTTAACCTCAGGCTCTTTTTGTGCATCCAGAATTTCCAGGGTGTGTGGGAGTTTTGTATGCCCAAGGCTCTGCAGGTTCCAGTGCTGGTTGCATAGCAAAACGTAGTGCTGTTTTCTCAGGTTCCTTTTTCTGGTATTATGTTAGAAGTAGAAGCTTGTAAAATGCAGATATAATTTTGAATGACGTTCTGTTTTGCTGTAATTCTATTAAGAGAATAGATAACGGTCTTGCACCCTATACTATCTGAAGTTCCGACTCCAAGTCTGCATTACTTAGTTTGGACACAAATTAGGGTCAGAACAGCAGACTTATCAGATGCCAGTGGAGGATCAAGTATATTCAGTACAAAGCAATCTTTGGCAGACTGAGGAATAAAACCTAGGGAGCTTCAAGTTAATCAAGAAATTGGGAAATTCTTATAATTGCAGAAAATTATCATGTGCGTAAAACCCATCCTCCCCTGATTTCCAAAACAGTATAACTGACCCTGTGTCATTTTTTTTTCCGTGTCTTAGGAACAGTTGCAGAAGCTGGAGGCAGAATTGAGGGAAATAACGAAAAACAAAGAAAAGTTGAGGAGAAACCTGCTTGAACTGACAGAATACACATGCATGTTAGAGGTCACGCAAACATTTGTCAGGAGAACAGCTGAGGTACTGCTTGTGCTGTTTGGCGAGGGTTGTGTGTCATGTGGCATTTTTGTTGCATACTCTTAGTCGTTCTAGTTAAGCGCGTGACTTGGCTTTGGGTTTTGCAGCACTCTACATTGTTCATTATTTTTTTGTGCTCAGTACCTGGAGAATGTGGCTGGCAACCTCATGTGCTGTGTTGGTATGCATAGCAAAATGCAGCTCTGAACTTAGAGGAGCTTTGTGATTTCTTTGTTGAATTGTTTGAATGTTACTGCTGGTGCCAACTGAAAATCGAGGTGTATTTGTGTTATTTTGATGCATAAATTGTACTAAGAATTTTACCATGCAACCTTTGTAACACTGGCTATAATTGCTAAGAGCAGTGAACCTGACATCCCAAGATCTTTCTTTTGTCTGAATTGAACACAGGAAAGGGGTTTATATTTTTATTGAAGTAATTTACTTAATTAGCTTTTCTTCTTTGGAATAATAAATGAATGAATTTTTTTTTTTTTCTGAAAGCTTTGAATGATCTTTTTTTTTGTTTGCTAGTATGAATCCCATTTGCATGCAAATTATGAAGAATTTCCATCTGTGGAGGATGAGCCATTAGTGGATTACAACTGTATGCACAGACTGGGTGCCAAGTTGGGGTAGGTATGGTTCGGTCCACGTATGGCAGGCTGTCAGCGTGTGCTGTGTCAAAACTGCATGATGAGCTGCTGTAAATAATGGGCTGTTTTCTTAAAAGATGGGATTTAGTGTTACTCTAGTGATTTCATATGAGCCAAACAGTTCTGGACAGGGTAGGAGTCTGGCCCAAACGTACCTTTGTAACAAAATTGGATTATTTGAAGGGATAAGTAGGGCAGCACCAAAAAAACTGGCACAAAACTTCCATCAAACCAAGTATGTGTGTTAACAAAAATCTCTAAATGCTCTAAATCAGTACTTTCTCTTACTCTGTTTTTCTAGGATGAACACACAGTGTTTTAATCACCCGGCAGCGTCAGTTCTAAATGTAACGTTATTAATGGTATTGCTGACATAGCTTTAAAATGATGTATGGATGCTGTTCTCTACAATACCATTATGAGAGGGCATCTTACCAAGAAAAAATAAAAAACCTTACTACCACAGAAAGAAACGATGTAAAATATAATTCTAGTTATGTGCTAGGCCTACAGTCTGTTTTCTCTAGAGATGGCAGATGTTAAATTATTGTGACTATATGATCCTGAGTGATGATGTAATCTGAGTTTTTAATTTTTCTTGTGGCTTTTAGTTTATTTTTCAATTTTTTTTCCCCATAGATTCATATCTGGGTTAGTTCACATAACAAAAGTTGGAGCATTTGAAAAAATGCTGTGGAGAGTCTGTAAAGGATATACTATTCTTACCTATGCAGAGTTGGATGAATGTCTGGAAGATCCAGATACAGTGAGTAAATGTTGTAACTATCAGTTTATTTTGTTGGTACTTTTTTCTCTGAGCTTATAAAATTAACTTTTTGTAAATCAGTGATTATGGCTGCCTAATCTGTCACTTTTCAATTTTGCTTTGGTTCTAGTTTGTAACATTTTAATTTTTTAAGACGTTTTTGTTACTAATAATTCAGAGATGGTGAAATACAGTCTCTTATTTTCCTTGAAAACTTTTTCTGTTTTTCTCTAATATACCGAAAAAAAAGAGATATTGGCACACTTGGATTTTATTTTTTGATCTTCACTAAAATGGTGGAAGGTTCATACTACATAGTTTTTTCTAATTATTCAAATTTGTTATTTTGCGCTATAATTGTGTCGCAGTGAAGTTGTCGGCTAAAAGCAAACTTAATCAACTTTTTTGGGTTTTTTAGGGTGAAGCTACAAAATGGTTTGTTTTTTTAGTGTCCTATTGGGGTGAACAAATTGGCCAGAAAGTTAAGAAGATTTGTGACTGGTAAGAAGTAAAACTAATATATATAATTTTTTTTATACCTGGGTTATTTTCTTGTTACTTTTTCCCCTGCTCCCCTTTCTTGTAAGTGTTGATTTTTAGGCAAGGTTTTTGAAGTTAAATTTGTTCCCCCCCTGCATTGCATTTATGCAATATAAAAATAAGTGTATGAGTCATTTTATCTGCAGTCCTTATGAAGTACGGGCAAAATACTGACTTAGTTGAATCTGTTCCGTGGTTATTAAATGGTGTGTTGCAGATTTGACTGGGGCATGGGATTGGGTGATTTGTTTTAGTCTGGTTGTTTAACACAAACTCTGTTTTCTGTAGCTATCACTGTCATGTGTATCCCTATCCAAATACCACGGAGGAGCGCACGGCAGTTGTTGAAGGACTAAATACTCGTATTCAGGATCTTCATACTGTGAGTAAAAAACAGTATTCCCTTTGCTGTAATTTTGGCACCATAGGAAACAGTTCGACGAATCACAGCATTAAATACATGAGTATGTTTCTAAACATACACCTTTGGATCTGAACGTGACTGTATGTCATGTCCCTGGTCTTGTGTTGCACGTATCTATTAAACTTCAGGGCACTTGCTGTTGCCTCCTGTTTTAAGCGGTGGTTTAGTGTGACCTCCTGCAGATGTGATCCGGCACTGGACAAATACTAGGTGCTCTTACTGTGGTTAACATAACCACTGTTACATTTTCAGTGAATTTTTTTTTTTTTTGAACAAAGGTGCTGCATAAAACTGAGGATTACTTGCTCCAAGTCTTGTGTAAAGCATCTGAATCCATCTATACCTGGGTTATCCAAGTGAAAAAGATGAAAGCCATTTATCATGTACTCAACCTGTGCAGTTTTGATGTCACAAATAAATGTTTAATCGCTGAGGTTTGGTGTCCAGTGGCTGATCTGCAGAATTTGCGCCATGCATTGGAGGAAGGTTCAGTAAGTCAGCTGAATGCTCACTGATGTTAAAACTTTTGTCTTGAACTAGCTATACAGATAAGGAAAGAAAATAATTACTAAAAATACGCTAAGAGTAGTCACAGGCAAGTCTGGGTCTCTATAAACTAATATCAAGCAATTTCTTTATAAGCAGAGCCCTTGTTTAGTGTTGTGGGGTGGGTGGGGTTTGGGTTTTTTTTTTTTTTTCCTCCTCCTTGAATAAGAACTTTTGTGTTGGACCCAACTCTGACTGGGCTTACAGTGGTATTTGCAGTCAAGTAGAAGGTGCTAATTCCCTTGTGTTAGTTGTGTTGAGTTGTCCGACTTTTTGTTTTATAAGAGGGAATTTTTAGTAACAAATCTTTATTTTATAATATTGACTGATGATTCTCATCTGATATTTCATATAAAATAAAGATTAGAACACTGTACGTAATTAATATTTTTAGAAGAACAGAATTAATGTAATTGGTGTTTTTAAGAAAGCAGAAATGGATAAACGGTAAACTTGGGGCTTAATTCAGGGATGTTTCACGATCAGTGAAACTGCTGATAGAGGGAATTTTTTCACTTTTATTAGATTAAGCATCAATTGAGGTTTTTTATATGCATGTGTCTTCTTTCTATCTGCAATTAGAGGAAGAGTGGAGCTACAATTTCTTCATTCATGAATACCATCCCAACGACACAACCTCCTCCAACTTTGATACGTACCAATAAATTCACCTCAGGGTTCCAAAACATTGTTGATGCGTATGGAGTTGGAAACTACGGAGAAGTTAATCCAGGTTGGTCCTTCTGAAATCCAAACCAGGGGCTCTGCTGGCATTACTGCTTGCCTTGTTATGTGTTTAAATACCTTGCCGAATTGGACACTATTAAAGGCAAAATGGCAACAACCACACTGCTTATTAGTAGCTGTTTTAAAATTTTAGTAGCTCATCAAAAGAACAAATGGTGCTTTAAGCAGTAATTTCATTTTGCTGAGTTATTTTACCATTAAAGATACTGATAATAGCTGTATAATGTTTTTTATATGCTTTACCTTGGATAAGAATATATTTAGGGGAAAAAGGAAAACTTAGATAGTGGCTATTGAGGTCATAACTTGAAAAAATCCAGCTTGTTGTTAGCCCAGTTATCTGCAGAAATACGTAAGAAACTAGGTTGATTATGTCATGTTATACAGAGGCAAAATAGCCATGGAGGGAGAACTGTTTGTTTGTGTTTTATTTCCTGGGCTCATATTATTATCCTCAAAATTGTCATCTGACCCTCAACTGCAGAGTTGTCATTACTAAGGGATATACATAAGCAAGCTTTAAACTGAGTTATATTTATAGTGTGGGGGAAAGGTCTATTAGCAGGGGGTGAAATGTCTTACAAACAAAACTGAAAGCTGAGAGGTTAAAGTAGTTGAATTGCTTAGGCGTAATTCAAATAGCGGCTGCATCTATTGTGCTGTGTGCCTGAAGTCTGTTCCATTGTCATTTCAGCTCTCTATACCATCATCACTTTTCCCTTCCTCTTTGCGGTTATGTTTGGAGACTTTGGGCATGGTCTGCTCATGTTCATATTTGCACTCGTGACAATACTGTATGAAAACCACCCTCGATTGCAAAGATCACAAGATGAGGTAAAAGGAATTCCAAGTAATTTACTCTCCATCCAGCAAGATAACGTCAATTGAGTAGTTACTGTGTTTCTGAAAAATACTATTTATTGCACATGTATTAGAAAATCCTGAAACAAAGGAAGAAAACAGTCTGTTTAAAGTTGCCACATTCCTGAGAATAATGTGATATCTTTCAGAAAAAGTTAATATTTTGTTAAGGGCAGAAATAATCAAGTTGGAATGAAAGACTGATAAAAATTAGGTGATCCTGTTGGGCTTGTCTTGTTGGCTGTAGGTTTCTTCATATTCCTTAATGACTATTCACAAGAATTTTTAGTTTTTAGAAGTCTTTGTATGGCCAAAAATGTGTTTCTCTTAGAAACGTGTAGATACTGATTGTTCACATAGCAGATGATGTTCTCTGTTTTGTCTTTTTTCCAATACTTGCAGATAATGAAAATGTTATTTGAAGGCCGATATGTTATTTTATTAATGGGTTTGTTTTCTGTATACACTGGATTGATCTATAATGACTGTTTTTCAAAGTCATTAAATATATTTGGTTCTGGATGGAACGTTTCAGCAATGTTTGAGCAGAAGGCTTGGAGGTGAGTAGCATGCCTCTGTTTGCTATACCATTAAAACAAATTTGTACTTCCTGCAGCAGTTTAACCCTTTTGCTCACCCATTTTAAAGTCCTTTTATTGACAGTAGTAAGTAAATGCAGTGAAATCTAGCGAAGTCTAGTTGTTAAGGGAGCAAGTGCTAGTGTGCTAGGGGCAAAGTGATACATCTATGCTTAGAATCAAAAAGGCAGTAACATTTATTTAGAAACAAAAAAATCAAGCTGCTTATTTTATTAAATTGGGCAGTCCACAGAGAACACAGTTTCTTGCAAAGCTACTATCAGAATTGGATTATATTTAATTCACTCAATCTACCAGGTTAATCTTGTGTTTACCAGTGCTGCTTTACTGGATTTACATGTCTTCAGTCACCTGGAACATTTTCTAAAAATTTATCATTTGGTATAGATGACAATCAGTCTTCTCCTGAAACCAATTCTGCTGCAATAACCTAAAGCTATATGTTAGCTAAAAACTTGTAGTGATTAGAAACTGCAACTGGTGTAGCATCTTTTTATTGGTAGTAAGAACTTGCACCTAGTTCTATGAGGTCATATTTCTCGGGTTTATTCAGCCTCTAAATGGGCTCACAAAGGTTTTATTATGAATGGTTGGAGACTTCAGTAGTGTTGTAAATTCCTAACAGAAACCACTAGGACCTTGTCTTGCTGTGTATTCTTTTTATTCATAAAAACCACGCTGCCTCCTGTGGGATGGTTTGTCTTTATGCTAACGGTTTTAGTTTGTCTCCAATTACTATATTTTTCCAGGAGAATTTTCTAAATACATGTATCAGATTTTGAGAAGAACAGAAAACACAGGGCTAGTTTTGGAGGAATTTGTCGTAGGTCTGGAATGAATAGCCAAGCTGCTGTAAAGAAACCATCAATTAATTAAATAAATTAATTACCTAGCAATCATTAGTCCCTGCGCAACTTTTCTTGATAGTAAAAAAAAGAAAGTAGGCTGTGTGAATTGTCAAACCTATTCTTTCACAAGGTGGGGTAACCTCATTTTTTGAGGTGTCATGGCCCTTTGGTATTAAATGTTCACAGCTTGCATCTCCTTTTTACCTCAAAAACAGGAAGTGCCTTAAAATAGGAGAGTCAAAACCACTGAATTTGGTTCAAGTGTGAACAGGTTGTGAGTGCTGTGGTAATTAAAAATAATATGAAGCTAGAATGGAAAGTCATCCAAATGCAAGAGGAAGAAAAGATATTAATTATTCTTTGGATGTTTGTTATTTAATTTTATATAAAATCAAATTATGAGCTTTTAAAATGAAACTTTCAGTTTTTCTGTTCCAGAGGAATGGAATCTTTCCTTTCAAAGGCAGTTAGTGAGAATTAAGCCCAGATTGTGAGTTTCTAGATTTTTTTTTTTGCTATTGTTTTTATTAGCGAGGAATGGGGAATAGAATCTTTCCTTTCAAAATCAGTTAGTGAGAATTAAGCCCAGATTGTGAGTGTCTAGATTTTTTTTTTTTTTGCTATTGTTTTTATTAGCCAGGCCCTTTTTGATTAGAAATCCCTTTATTCTTTTAAAGTCTGACAGTGATTGTGAGTTTCTAGATTTTTTTTTTTGCTATTGTTTTTATTAGCCAGGCCCTTTGTGATTAGAAATCCCTTTATTCTTTTAAAGTCTGACAGTGGGTGAGCTAGTCATATCAAGGAAAGCAGGAGCAGTGTCCTGCAGAACTGAAGTATGTGTTGTCATTATGTTTAAACAATGTCAGATCTGATGGTGTTTTTTTTTCTCTGCAGTCTTGAGGATCTGCGGTCTAATCAATTTTTAACCCTGGATCCAAATGTTACTGGTGTATACAATGGAGTTTATCCCTTTGGAATTGATCCGGTTAGTTTTTATGTTTTGAAATTATCCATTTGTGATGATCAGTCATTTGTAAATTAGATTTTGGTATGTGTATTAGGAAGATAAACATACTGTGGAAAAAATACATTTCTGTTTGCATTCTTCATTCAAAAAGAGCCTTTCCCTGAACCAGTCAAAGATTTAACTATTTTAATGAAACTCAAATTTCAGTTATGATCCCTGTTTGAACAGAATTCTGGTCTCCAGTAGGGAAGGGATTCTGTTTTATTTCTTCTGTTGCACTGTTCTTTAATGCTGATTTTGTCTTCTCCTCTTCAGATCTGGAATTTGGCAAGCAACCGTCTCAGTTTTTTAAATTCTTTCAAAATGAAAATGTCTGTGATTTTTGGAGTAACTCACATGACGTTTGGAGTTGTATTGGGGGTATTTAACCACTTGTAAGTACAAGAAGTTAAGATAATATTAACATAGTTTTTGTCAAGTCTTGAATTATA